AACAATGTAACCCGTTACAATGACATGGGTTGTCATTCCTCACGGCAGCGCTGGCGTAAACTAACTGTAGTTGGTATGAACCAAAATTTTAAAGAATATGACATTAAAACAACGGGATGCCTGCTGAAGTAGTAAAGGAGTCCCCTATGCAGGGTTGAAGGGGTGCTTGCCCGTCATTTATCATGATATCTGCCCCCTCCCCTCCCGTGATGGAAGCCTCGCAAACTGTTTCACTTCTCTGAATCCGTAGGGTTAGATGAAGATTAAAGAGACATCGGTAATAGTTGACAAAACGCGACTGATTCCGATCATAAAATAAAGTCACTTGATCAAGAGGCAAAGGCAATCATGCACAGAACAACGACGATTGGAGGAGCCCCGTTGGCATGCGTTTGTAGCGCACCCATAAGGGAGAATACTCGGACGAAGTACGAAGCAGTGCGGTGAAATACTTGAAGGAGAAGTTGATGAATTTTAAAAATTTAAGCTTGTTGCTTTTGTGCGTCATTAAGCGAACACCACATCGGGTTCGGAAAGTTCGCTGAGATTAACCATCACAGCTTTGTGTCCTCCATCCGGCTTTAATTTGTAAAGTCGATCTTTGCGACAGTTTTGGTGTGCATTAACTTGAGTATATTGCACATTGTAAACCATAAGGAACGTACAACATAATGGCATATTTAAGCAATCTTCAACTGTCGTTTGGCAGGATGGGAATTTTATATTTCAATGTGCAGATTTCTAAGCCAACGAATGGCAGCCGCGATGAAATGCTGAACATCAGTTATTCTACCGCCGAACTTCCCCAGCGGACATTCGGAAACAATGGGCTGCGTTGTCTCGTCTTCATGACTGGAGTCACACAGGCGGGCTGGAGTTCCTCTTCCAATTGTGGAGGAATCGTTCTGCTGTCCGAATCTAATTTGATCTCGACCATTCTTGGCAAGAGCGAGTCAAATCCATTCCAGGGAATCCTGGGGTCGGCTTGAAGATATGTTATGTAAGGTCGAAAACCTGAAAGACTATGGATTACTGTCGATGTTACGTCTTTCGAGTTCGGAAATGTCTGCCTAAAATGTTCACGCTTTGAATCTTTTCGCATTTGCTTAAACGTGTTGACACAGTAGGCCGTAAATTCCCTTTCCTACAGATTACTACTTGCCTCTATTCATAATTGAACTGCATTTTTTAACAGATCAGTGGCGGATTGAGGTGCGAGGGTGGATTTATGAATCCGTCCGTTGAGCGTGTGAGCGGCAAGCGCTTACAGCAGTCGGGTGAATAAAAACAGCAAAAAGTTTATTTCCGTTGCCGGCCGCTACTTGGCTGGTTGTTTGTTTATATTCATAAAGTTCTGGAACCGAAAATTTGTTCGATGGTCGCCGATCTGTCTGATCGGTCTAATTAACGGATTCGCCCATCGAACCACTGCCGACAATCTGTCTCGCAATCTCGACCATATGCTATGCGTTGAAACGCGTTTGAAAAAGGGCAGGCTACGGCCTCGCCGAAAATAGCGCGCGTGTTTCGGCCGGAAGGGAAAATCGGTGGCTCCAGGCCGAAGAGTCGAAAACAGCTGACCAAAACCGATATGCGAACCAAACTGAGGAACAAACGCAGACCTAACGAAAGTCTCTTACCTGAATGACCCTCATGTTGAGGCCGGTCTCCTGTGCTAGTTGCTCTCTGATGTGACGCGTCGGCTTCGGGGTGGCGGCGAACGCCGCCTTCAGGGTCTCCAGTTGCTTAGCCTTGATCGTCGTCCTTGGTCCCCTTCTTTTGGCGCTGTTCAACTGACTGCTGGCTGAGCCGACGTTGTCGTCACTCTTTGACTGTTGCTGCTGACTGCAGCACGAATCCGGACTGGAAACCGACTGTTGCTCGGAAGGGGTGAACGAATCGTTTAACTCCGAACTGGTGTCCACGTTGGCGGTGGTTGTCTCCACGCCAGACTTGTTGCCGTCCTCGCTGAGCTCCTCCTCATCGACCTCGTCACTGCCGCATTCGGAAACGACGCTTTCAGGAGCCTGCTGACCTGTAGTAAAAGGAGCGGATCTGGTGAAAAAAAAGG